AACTGTGAATTTATATGTTCGTTTTAATTTTTTTACATCTTTTAGGAAAGATCTTAAAATTATATATTAGAAGATTTTCGTTCTTGAAATTTTTAGTTGAATATGATTAAAAATGTGGTTGTTAAGGATTAGTGTCTAAAAAGCTCCTGGTTTCTTTACGATTACCCTTATGTAGCTTAACTTCAATCCCTACAAAAAGTTATAGATTGCCATAACCAATAGCTAAGTTGGGGAAAGTGCATCCCGATACGCTAAGCTTCCGCTATGTGCGTGTTCGGGAAAGGGCCTGACCACAAAGGTCTATTGTACGTAGCCTTATCCTGCATTTCTGCAAGAGGCTGTTTCCACGGCTCATAATCAAATTGAGTGATGTGCTGATTTTAGAATCATCAAAAGCTTTACATGTATCCGATTAAAATAAGCCTATCATTTCCAGAAGGCAAAAATACATCGAAATAAACTATATTTCCATAGAGAGATTGACGGTATAAAACACAAAACACAAGTTAAAAAAAAAGACCATACATCATATAACTACTTACATATATCAATATCTCGTGAATATAGCTATTCGGCCCGTGCTCAACATGGGCCAACTTTAACTAGTATTTATACTAAGGGAAAGTGAGAAGTATCTAGTAAAAAATTTAAAGCATGTGAAATAATATTATGTATTCCATAATTAAGTAACTTATAAAGTAATTACCAAAAAAAAAATGGTAAATAAAGAATTTTATTACCAAGCAATGTTATGTACAGAGTTTCAAACCTAAATCAGACAAATTACACCCGCGAGCTAAGCATAGTGCCCCAGCTGCTAGATACTTCCTATCTATCTATCTTCTACCTTCACTGCCTATGGATATGAATCCAATTCATTTAATCTATTAGGTACTTTTGACTTCTTGTTTCCTCGATAAAATGTCTTGTATTATCAGCCGAAGGATTCCATCAACAGTCTTCTTCTTGTCTTGGAACAATCTTGTATTCCTCTCAGGCCATATATAGTAGACACACCCTGCGAGAGTCATTCTGTAGACCTCCGCAGTGGCTTTCTTTCCATTTATTTCTCGGACTGTCCATTCAATCTCCTCATCCCACTTCAATACCGACCTTTGGAATCCTTGCCATTTCAGTAGTCTGCCCCAGATTTATTTTGACATCCTACATTCAAAAAAATAAGTGTGGAATGGTTTCATTTTCCTCATTACACAACTCACATTTTTGGTCTATTGTTTTGCCCCATCCTGCTACCTTATTTTTCGTGTGCAACTTCCCTTGGATCGCCAAATTTATTATAAAACTCCACCTAGGAACAACATAGTTGTTGCAAGTTAGTCTCCTCCATGGCACCTTTGGGAACCCCTCTCTCATTCTATGGCACATCTTTTTAATAGAGAAGGATTGTTGGCTCATCAACTCTGTAACCTACATTACTGCCCTTTCTAGGTATGCCTTGGCTTTAATAATTTTGAGTAGTACCCTGGATGCTTGCTTCACTTGGACTTCCCAGATGTTCTTCCCCTTCCCGTAGTATATATGGACCCACCTTACCCACAGTTTATCTTCTTGGTACATCGATTCCACAGAAGTTTAATTATTGATGTCTTGTTCCAAGTTTGAATGTGTATTACATTAAAACTCCCGGCTATTCTGGGCCAACAAACCTTTTCCTAAGCCAACAATGCTCTCTTTGATATCTCTGCTGTGCCAGTCCAGAGAAAGCTTCTACTTGTTGCCTCTATCAGTTTCACAACTTTCTTAGGTAGCACAAAGATTTGGGACCAGAATACTTGGACTGAGAATAGTACACTCTTGATCAGTTGTAGTCTCCCGGCATAGGACAAGTATTTTGCGGTCCATGAAGTTATCCTTCCCAATATCTTCTCTACAAGTGGCTGGCATTGTACTAGGGATAGTCTTTTGGAGCTCAGAGGGACGCTCAAGTACCTAATAGGTAACTCCACTTTTGTAAACTCCAGTGTTGTTAGAATTTCTTCTTGCACCTCTCTGCTTACCCCTCCATAATAAATGGAGCTTTTGTCTCTGTTTGATATCAGTCCGGAGCATTGTGATAATTCATTAAAACAGTTCATGAGCAATTGAACTGAGATTTCATCTCCCCTACAGAAGAGAAATAAATCATCTGCAAAACATAGTTGAATAAGCTGCAGCTTTGAGCATTTAGGATGAAAATTAAAATTTGGGTTGTTTTGTAGTGTCATGAGTTTTCTATTAAGGTACTCCATGGCAATAACAAAGAGGAATGAGGACAATGGATACCCCTGCCTTAGTCCCTTCTTAGCTTGAAATGGCGAGCTTGGTGTCCCATTAATGATAACTGAATAAGAGACACTTGTAATACATATCATGATCCATTCTATAAATATCTTTGGGAAGTTCAAAGCATGTAAGATTTGTTCCAAGTAGGTCCATTCTAAGGAGTCATAAGCCTTTTGCATGTCTACTTTGATCCTACATCGTGGGGACACTCCTTTCCTTCCATAACCCCTGACCAATCCATGGCTAATAATAATATTGTCTGATATAATTCTTCCAGGGACAAAAGCTTATTGGCTTTGGTCTATTGTAGTATCCATTACTCCTTGCAGTCTCTTTGCAAGAATTTTGGATATCAGTTTATAAAAAATTGTACAGCATGATATGGGCCTAAATTGCTTGATAGTGGAGAGGTTCTTAACTTTTGGTATTAATGTAACTGTAGTGCAATTGATAGGCAGATGCATGGTCTTTGTATTGAAGAAGGATATGACAACATCAGTTACCTCATTCCCTATAATGTTCCATGCTTTCTTGAAGAAAAACGCATTGAAACCATCACAACTTGGTGCTTTCTGGTCATCTATATCTTTCAGAGCATTTATCACTTCCATTCTTGACACTAGTGCTATCAGTTTCAGCTGCATCTCTCTATTTAGGCAAGGTCCATTTTTCATTTCCATAGGGTTTATTGCAGGTATAGAGTCAGTTGCTGAGCCCAGTAGTCGTTTATAGAACCCTATGATCTCTTCTTGAATTGCTTTTTTACTCTGTAGCAATACACCATTATTATCTATCAAATTTTTGATTTTATTTTGGGATAGTCTATTCTTCACAGAGGCAAAGAAGTAGGCTGTATTTGCATCCCCCAATTGCAACCATTGGTTTCTAGATTTCTGCTTTGTGATACTTTCTTCAATAAGGATCCACTTCTCTAGTTGCTCTCTAATTGATTTCTCTTTCTTTTTTAATTTCTCTGATATCCCCCTAATTCTCAACTCCTCTTGGACTGACCATAGTTGTTGTCTATTGTTTTTGATTTTCTCATGAACTCCTGAATAGTGAGTACTGTTGAGTTGTTTCAGTTTGTGTTTCACTCTTTTCAGTCTTTCCCATACTCTCTGCATATTCACCTCTTTATCCATGCTGATCCACCCTTCTATTACTTTTTGCTGAAATTCTTCATGTTCTGCTATGACATTGAAAAATCTAAATGGTCTATATGTCTTTTTCTGGTGATCCTCCAATCTAATAGCTAACGGACTATGGTCAGAAAATCAAGGCGCCATGATTATAATATTAAAATGTGGATATTTGAGCATCCATTCTGCATTTGCCACTCCTCTGTCTAGCTTACTGCTAACTGAGTTATTTGACCATGTGTACTTTGCCCCTATACTTCTTAGCTCTGCCATATGACAATCATTCATAAAGTCTTTAAAATCTTTAACCTTAGATTCATGTATCTGGTTGCCATTTATTCTATCCTCTATATTTAACACTGCATTAAAGTCTCATATTGCTAGCCATGGTCCTGCTTGATCATTTTGAATTTGCCTTAGTTCATGTCATAGACTTCTCCTATCACCAATTGTATGCAGACCATAGATAGTTGTGAAGTTAAAACTCATCTTGCTATCCAATATGCAAACCTTCCCATGAATGAGTTGTACATGAATAACTTCTACTGTGAAACTGACCCTGTTAGGATCCCACAGTAGCCAGATTCTTCCTTTATCTCCAGTTCCATAGTTGTTGCACCAGTTCCACTGTGGAGCTATTTTATTTTTGATCTTTTTTGCGATTACTTCTGTCACTCTATGTTCTACTATAGCTATTATTGCTATATTATTTTCCTTTATAAGCTCCTTCATCTCCTTCTGCTTGTACAGCTTATCCAACCCCCTTACATTCCATGTGACTAACTTCATCTTGGAATGAATAGGTGTTGTTTCTCCCCTCCTCTACTTGTGCTACATTGTCCTGCTTCCATCCACTGTTTGGTTATAGCAAATTGCAAAAGATCACCTGTTGCTAGAGGGTCAAAACCATTTTTCGGTCTGCATGCCTTCATTTTGATAGCTCACTGGAGACTTGCCTGTTGATTTCTCCCTCACTTCTGTCGACCCTTCTTCCTTTTCTATTGTATTTTCTTTTGTCGGTTCTTTCTCTATAGTTGGTATCTCAGCCATCTTAGTTTTCTCAGGATTGCTTTGTGCCTTTGCTATCTGTGTTCCTCCTTTTACATGCCATTCCTGTCTCTGCTTAGAGGCATTCTTTCTCACTTGCTTTGGTTGCTCTTTGACCTGTTCTTGTTTCTCATTTTGTTGGCAAGAGTGTCCCAATTATAGGCAAACATTACAATATTCAGGGCGCCAATCATAGGTCACTACCTGCTCAAAATATCTACCATTTTGATCCTTCACATCGATCTTTTCAGGGAGTTTTTTTGTGATATCAATCTCAATTATCTCACGAGCATAAGAAATTCTATCCATTCTAGTAGTACAGTCATCAGCATACAGGGGTACTCCCAAACTATTTGCTATTCGACTCAGGGATGTCGTCCCCCAGCAATTCAGAGGTAAGTTTGAAAATTTACCCATATTGGCAAAGTATTCAGTACTTCATCCTGGAAGTTGAAATCAGCTGTCCATGCCCTTGTTATTATCAGCCTATTGTTTATAGTGTTGGGGGATGCATATAATGCCTTGTCTTTGTCCTCTATATTGTGGAATCGAATTAGGAAATAACCATCGTTATGGTAGTAAACTCTTGGCTTTGCAGCAATTACCTATTGACTTGCTATGAACCTCTCTACAGCCCCAATTGTAGGGGAGTCCCCAACCACATCGAAGACAATTGCCTTGCGCCATTTTTCAGTTTCCTCTTCCACTTCTTCTTTTTCTAATTCTACGATTTTAACACCATCTCGTATAGTGGGGGCGATGTAGCTTAGATTCATACCTTTGGAAGCATATTTGTTTCCTTCAAACAAGTTCACCCAGGGCAGCTTGGTTGGTGGATCATGCCCTAGGTCCAGTCTTTTTTGCGCCTTATTCGCCTCTGCCACTAGGTTTCCATTTTGATTTTTTGAACTAAGTGTTATTGTATCCTTGCTTACATCTTTCACTTCCTCCATTGCCGCGGAGAGTGGCGTTTTGGTCTTCTCATTGTAGCTAGGTAGAGCAGGCCATGGACCCTCCTTCTATGGCAATTGATCCCTTGGCGTATCAGTAATCAGCATGCTTGTGCTCAAAGGCCCCTTTGTGGGCGGTGTAAACTTCTCCGCCACCATCTTTGCTGGTGCGGTGCAAATTTGGTCATTCACATCCCCTCTAAGATCCTCCTGCTCTGAGTTCTCAGTTCTCATGGATCGTTGATTAACCTTTGTCAATTTCACATTTGATAGTTCAATTCTGTGCGCTGCCTTTTTTGCTCGGCCCCTAGCCATTTCCGGCAAGGGCGTACGTTAGTAATCACCACTATCGTGCGCCTTGAGAGGAAGAGCTAGAGAGCTAGAGAATTATTACCAAAAAGTTACTATGCTAAATATCAATTGATAATTTAATAGAAATAGCAACTAAATTTATTTAAAAAAATTGTCACAACTAAACCGACGTTCATCCCCTCATTCTTAAATAAAAAATGTAGAGCTAGGCTTTGAAAATGAATTTTTTTTTGAATAAATAACGTTTTGTTATGAAAATAATTATATTATGAATGTTCATTTAATACTTCACTATAGATAATTTTTCTGAAAAAGATTATCCATTTAATACTCCATTGAAATTTATCTACAAGCAGCTGATGCAGGCAGGTTGTAAGCAACTCAATGAAATAATTTGCAGCTTCTTATTAAACAGGCATGCTGCAAGCAGTTCATGCAGACATCTTACAAGCAGCTCAAGAAAAGTCTCGCAACTGCTTTCCTGAAAAGTCTCGCAACTGCTTCCTTTCTTTTATAAATAAAAAAAATTAAGTTCATTATGTACATCAGTTTGAAGTTGAATAATATATCAACCTCTGTCTATACTTCTTTTCAGTTTATTTACTTTATAATTTTTATTTTATAATACATTTCTCCTTCTAATAAATTTTATGCCGTATGAATTCAAATTAATCGGGAGAATTCAATATATATATATATATATATATATATATCGAACACCAATTTAAAAATTAGAAAAAAGACATTTATCATAGAACCCCACATGTGCACCGCCTCTAACTGATGATCCCAATGGCCATGATCTTCAACATTTTTCAAATACTCATCGAATCTAATATTTTCGAATTCTTTTATAAATCGAATCTACTTTAAATAAATATAAACAAATAGGAAACAGTTATACGTGGAATCTATATGGAGTGAGTCACCAAACATGAACTAGGACGTGGCAGTCATTTGGTAACCCCAATTACTTACAATTAGGGGTGTGCATTCGAATCGGTTTATCGATAAATCGAATCGATTATTTGTTATCGGTTTATCGATTTCGATTTATCGGTTTATCGATTTCGATTTCGATTTCAAAATTTTCCTTATCGATTTATCGATTTCGATTTCGATTTTGTCCTCTTCGATTATCGGTTTATCGATAAATCGATAAGCTACAGTAATTTTTTTTAATTTTTTTATTTTTTTTAATTTTTTTTTTAAAAAATTTTTAATTTTTTTTTTACCCTTATTCTATAATACCCTTTCATTTACCCTAAGTCCCTAACCCTATTATTTCCTCTACCACATTTAAGGAATGATCATATTTAAAGCTCAAGTAAATGAAGTTCAAATTAATGGAAAACAGAATTAGCCGTGATGATGTATTTTGATTTTTTGTTTGTTTATACCGTTGGAGTGTTGGTGGCATACATTTGATCCCTTACTTTAGTTTCGTTGCATGTGCTTGTTGACACAATTTTTATGTTATAAACGGTGCTCTTCTTATTTTAGCTTCCTTTTGTCCATATTAGTTAGGTGTGTTTGTAGCGATATACTTTCTGTGGAATCCCGTAAATTTTCTTATTGGTGTAATCGATAACCGAATCGATAAGCCCCAAAAATCGATAAATCGAAATCGAAAAAATCGAAACCTTATTGAAACGATAACGATAAGCATATGTACAAATCGATAATCGATAAGTAATTATCGATAAGGGTCAAAATCGAATCAATAAATCGAATGCACACCCCTACTTACAATACTGGTCGTTACTCAAACGGCAATTTCCCAAATAACACCAATTAATTGCAGTCATATCCTTGAGATTTTGACCAGTTTACACTTTGCTCCCCAAATAACCATGAAAATAGAGAAGAATTTTAGCATATTTTCCTAATGTACACAACAACAACAACAACGATCCAGTATAATCCCACAAGTGGGGTCTGGGGAGGGTAATATATACGCAGACCTTACCCCTACCCGAAGGGTAGAGAGGCTGTTTCCAGGAGACCACCGACTCAAAAAAGCAACAGGAGCCGATATATTAGTGCCATAAAAATGCTTAATAAAATAACAGCAATATAAGAGATATGAAATACAGAATACAAAATACGAAATAGATGGCTGGTATAGTAAAACTAGCAGATAAAGCCCTGCATCAATAGCCGACCAATGACATTCTTAGTCTAACTCCTAACTGGCTAGTCTCACTCTATTGTGCTGTGAATGAATAATAATACGAGATATTAAAGTGTAGCCCGGTGCACAAAGTATCCTGCGTTCATGCAGAATTCAGAAAAGGATTATATCCCAAAGTGTGTGATGTAAACAGTCTACTATAATACAAGCATTAGTCGTTGTTTTTACGATTCAAATCCGTGACCTATACGTTATACGGAAATTAATTTATTATTGCTCCAAGCTAAGCTTCCTCTTTCAATACAACATTGGTAGATTTAAATATTATCCAACAAGATTATTATGCAAAGATCATTTTCCCTTTCCTCCGTGTATATATGAATTATTTTGTAGTTACTTTCATGTAATCACGTGTTACAAAATTTTGTTGAGAAAGAGAACATCGTGAGATTAATATCTACAAAGTAAGTTTTATTTTTGAATTTTTCTAGCCTCTTCTAGCTTGTAATTATTTCTATCGAAATGTCATTTAGAAGTTTGATTACTTTTAAAATGAACTT